TGAAGAAAAAAATACCATGGATATAGTAATCAAATTACATTGCCAAATATTTATTTGAAAAAACCAATTAACACGTACTCATATCATCCTTTAAAAAAAACTGTACGCGTACATGTATAAGAAATTGAAAAATATTTTATTTATTGTTTTTCTTTTTGTGTTATTAGTGTATTGCCTGCATGTGTGTAAGTACACCTGTGTCATTCAATGTCTGTGGAAGCCAGAAGTGGGCATCAGATCTCCTGGAACTGGAGTTATGGACAGTTGTTAGCTGCCATGTGGATGCTGGGATTCGAACCCAGGTCTTCTGCAAGAACAGCCAGTGTTCTTAATGCTGAGCCATCTCTCCAGCCCTATTTTTATTTATTTATTTATTTATTTATTTATTTATTTATTTATTTTACGTGTATTCTCTGCATGTAGGTAAGTGCACCAATGTTGTGCAATGCCCACGGAGGACAGAAGAGACTGTCGGATCCCCTGGAATTGTAGTTACAGGTAGTTGTTAGCTGCCATATAGGTGCTGGGATTCAAACCCGGGTCTTCTGTAAGAACAGTCAGTGTTCTTAACTGCTGAGCTATCTCTCCAGCCCCCTATTTTTATATTTTTATTTTTTGGTCTTTTTGAGACAGGGTCTCCCTGTAGCCCCAGCTGGCCTGGAATTCACTGTGTAGACCTTGAACTCTCAGAGATCACCTGCCTCTGCCTCCTGAGTGCTGGGATTAAAGGCATTGTATTAGTCATTTTTCTGTTGCTGTGATAGAAACACTGACCCAAGCAATTTATAGAAGGAAGAATTTATTTGAGCTTATGGTTCCAGGGGAATTACAGTCTGTCTTGGCGGGGAGGCATGGTGGCAGAGGTGGCTAGAGAAGAGGAGAGGAAGCTAAGCTCTACATCTTCCAGCAGGCACAAGAAACAAGATGGCGACTGGAGATCTGGCAAGGCTTAAGAACTCTCTAAGCCCATCCCCAGTGACATGCTTCCTCCAGGATAGCCACACCTTCTTAAACCTCCCAAAACAGCACCACCATCTGGCAACAGAATGTCCAAATATTTGGAGCCTCTGGGGGACATTATCATTCAAATCATCACAGGCATGCACCACTGCACCTGGCTTTTTTTTTTTTAATGTTATGAGTGCATTGCCTGCATATATGTAAGTGCACCCATGTCATACAGTGCCCATAGAGGCCAGAAGAGGGCATCAGATTACCTGGAACTGGAGTTATGGATGGTTGTTAGTCATCATGTGGGTGCTGGGAACTGAGCCTGGGTCCTCTGCAAGAACCACTGCACCATCTCTGCAACCCTAAATTTGCATTTTTTAGACGTTTGTGAGAACACAGTAGACACCTAAGAAATAAAAAGCCAGTTTGATAGGAATGATTCTCTGACTCTTACCTTCTCTGAGTAGAGGGCGATGAGCATTATGGAGGATGTTAGATGTACTCTTGGCTGTTGGGACTTCAGTGTTATGTTTTATGTCCACATTATACTTTGTAAAATACTCTTCAGAGAGAAGTAAGCAGGGAAAGGAGCACTGGTAGCTCAGGTACTTGGCATATTCAGTTTAGATTGTTAGTTTTAAAATGGATTATGTTCATTAAGTTTGTCAAAGAATAATGTATGCAACAAAATTCACCCTTTTTGGTGTGCAATTTAGTGAGTTGGAATGGAATTACCATCATAACGTGCAGAACATTCCAAGCACCCCTACAATTCTCTTGTGCCCCTTTGGAGTCAGTTCTATATGCTCCCTCCCAGCCCCTTCTGATTTTTATCCCTATAGTTTTCCTTTTCTATGATGTCACATCAGTGTGTGGCCTCTCATATAGCAGAACACTTGTTGTCTGCATCACTAGCTTGCTTCTTTCATTGCAGAACAGTGGTCCTTTGGATACATTATATTTTGTTTAAAACATCACCAGTTTGTGGACATTTTACTTATTAGTTTTTATTTTGCATAATGCTGCTAATTTAATATTCATATACAAATCTTTGTGAGGACCTCTGTTTTTATTTGGTAAGATTGCTTGTATCTTTAGACTTTATAAGAATTTGTCAAACGCTTTTTTAGAGTAGTTGTTCCAATTTATACCCCCAGCAGCAGTGTTTGAGAGTTACATTTGCTGTCTACAGCCATACCATCCTGAATGTGCTTGATCTTGTTTGATCTTCAAAGCTAAGCAGGTTCAGGTCTGGTTAATACTTGGATGGGAGAGTTTCATTTGCTTCATATTCTTGTCATGACTTGGTATTATCAGTGTTTTTTTTTTTTTTTTTTTTTTTTTTGTCTTTGGTTTTTTCGTGTTTTTTTTTTTTTTTTTTTTTTTGGTCCTTTTGAGACAGGGTCTCCCTGTAGCCCCAGCTGACCTGGAATTCACTGTGTAGACCAGGCTGACCTTGAACTCTCAGCAGAGATCCACCTGCCTCTGCCTCCAGAGTGCTGGGATTAAAGTCGTTTGCCACCAAGCAGGCTAGTATTATCAGTCTTTTTAATCTGAGCTGTTCTAGTTAGTGTGTAGAGGTAAAGACTTCAGTTACTGCCACAATACCCATGTCAAATTTATAAGCAGGCCCTGGTTTTGTGGACGGTATTGTTTTCTGCTGTCATTTAGCTTTTGATGCCTCCTTGCACATGCTGGTAAAAGCCAGGTACCTTTTTTTTTTTAATTTTTATTTTATGTGTATAAGTGTATTGCCTGCATGTATGTGAGTGCACTCGTGTCGTGCAGTGCTACAGAGGTCAGAAGAGGGCTTCGGACTCCCCTGGAACTGGAGTTAAGGACAGTTGATAGCTGCAGTGTAGGAATCGAACCCGAGTCCTCTGCAAGAGCAGTCAGTGCTCTTAACCACCGAGCCATCTCTCCAGTCCCATGGAAGCCAGATATCTTTTATAACCCCTGAAAAGTGCCCCCAACTGTACTTGTAAAGCAGTATGCTCCTCTAGCTGCCTAGTTGTCAGATCTGTCTTGCTGGGCCCTTTGTGCATGGTGGTACACACCTGCAATGCCAGTACACAAGAGGGGGAGGCAGGAGGATCATGACTTTCAGGCCAGCCTGGACTAGAGTGAGATCCTCTCTACTAAAAAAGGAAAAAAAAAAAAAAAAAGCTTTCCATATCTTTGTTCCCTTTAGCAAGGATTTTAATCTATTGCTCAGAAAGATAATAATGTTCTTTGATGGAGGAACTAATACAATAGGAGCTTTTAAATCCAGCATCATCCAAAATTGTGTGCTACTCTGTATTTCACTACTGGGCATAGCTCCTGCCTATAAGAAAGAGTTGTCAGGGTATCCTCTCAGGTTGTGACTGCGAAGGGTTGTTCTCTAGCTGTGTCAAGGACCTAGTATACATTGCCTCCCTCCTGTAAGAGTTTCTCTAGTGCTTCTGTGACATTTTTCTTTTGGCTACATTCTGCAGACTAGCATTCCAACCAAGCCGGGAATGGAAAGTTAAGTGTGACGTCCTCTGACACCCTCCCTTCTTCTGTACAAGGGTCTGAGGTTTGTTTGTTTAAGCAGAACAGAGGATGCCAAAGATAGAGGTTTGAGTCAGCTTGACATTGATTTAGGCGCTTGCTCCTTTTCACTCTTCTGGTTCCTCCTTCCTTTTCCCCTCCCCCACTGGCCAGTTGTTTCCTGGGCTTTGTCTGAGATACACTGTGTAGTTTTAGTCTTGGTCTGCCACTGCTTGCTGAAAACCCAAGGAGACGAAATGGAAGAGAAGCCACCAGGAAGTTTCTGACATTAAGCCCGGCCTCTGCCTCTGAGCTGATTGTCCAGAACAGCAGTAACCTCAGGAGAAAGGCATCCAGAGGCAGTGCTGGGCTGTACTTGTGGCTAACTCAAGAGATGAGAAAGGACAGGCCTGGAAATGCCTCTTTTAGATTCAGCTTATTTGCCACCAACCATCTTTATTTTGACTCACATTCTTGGAATTGCTGGTGTTCTGTACTGGAAGAGATGTGCCAAAGGCAGAGCAGGTAACTAACTGTTGTTTCTGGGCTTTAATCTTGTGTGCAGTCTTGAGAGTAGGCTGGTCTTCCTACTTAATTGTTTTCTTTAAAGGGACAGTGCACCCTTTAGCTGCTTGCTATCAGGCGTGTGTGTGTGTGTGTGTGTGTGTGTGTGTGTGTGTCTGTCTGTCTGTCTGTCTGTCTGTCTGTCTGTATGCACCTAGGAAACAGGGCCATTCTGAGTCACTCAGGCGACCCAGACTCCTTCCTGTTCTGTGACACTGTCTGGCCAAGGGTGCTGGTTAGATGATGTGATGTCTGGGCTCATAGGTGGAGGGAAGTAGTCACTATGCTAACATGTGTTCTCTCTCAGAGGATCAAGCCCTTCCTTGCCTTACTTTCTCAATCACCAAGGGGAGTTTCAGACCTTTGTGTTACCATCTCCTGGATGTATAGGAAGACTTGTAGAACTGGAGAAGTTTCTAGATTTGATGCATTTAAGGCAGAGGAAGAGGGGCCAATCAAAAGAAAGGGTTGAATGGTATCTATCTGAGGTTTATTCTTGAACAGAGGGGTCCCCATGTTGTTCTCTTTGATGTGATTGATGCTGTTCCTCTCTACATTAGCCATGTGTACCTAAGCCATAGTGTTAAATGAATGCTAGGATGTTAGCTGTTCTTTTCCCTAGGGGGTCAGGCTCTGCTAATTAAAAAATAAATTTTAACGGCACTAGAACTTTCTTTCCATATTATTGTTAGTTATGTTATATTCCATTGACTTCTAACTGCAAAGTGTAGGGATCAGTTCCCAGTATAGCTGATTCTGAGTTGCTATAGGTGACAATAATATTGGTTATAACTCTTGGTTCTCGGTGCTTTATTTTGGGTCTTTTTGAGACAGGGTCTCCCTGTAGCCCCAGCTGTCCTGGAACTCACTATGTAGACCAGGCTGGCCTTGAACTCACAGAGTTCTACCTGCCTCTGCCTCCTGAGTGCTGGGATTAAAGGTGTGTGCTACCACGTCCAGCTGGTTCTCGGTGCTTTTAATATTGTCACTTCTATCAATGCACTACCTTTTATGCCAAAGTATTAGACATTTGTTACTGTTTTTTTGTTTGTTTGTTTTTGTCTTTTTTGAGATGGTCTCCTTGTAGCCCCAGCTGTCCTGGAATTCACTATGTAGACCAGGCTGGCCTTGAACTCACAAAGATCCGCCTACCTCTGCCTCCCAAGTGCTGGGATTAAAGGCGTGCACCACCACGCCCGGCTTGTTACTGGTTTTTATAAGATGGGATCTTGATGACTTATTACTTAGCTTTCTATTAAAAGTTCATGGATGCTTGACAGAATTAGAAATTCGATTCAGTCATTCCCTAGTGTCCTTTCCATTAAGTCCTAGAAAAGCTTTTGGCTAAGTATTGAGGTTCAGTGTATGGCTCTACCAGCAGAGACAAACATTTACAAATCTGTGCTTGTATGGCAGTGTGTTTAAAGGGGTACCCCAGAGTGGTTTCCTGTATTTGAGCTTAGAAAGAAAGGGCTAGACTGGCGATGGTTGCATACTTCTGCAGTATTAGAACTAAGGAAGTTGAGACTGGAAGATCTTGAGTTCCAGGCTGGGCTGTATAATGAGACTTTGTCTCAAAAATAACAACAGGTGGGGGTTTTAGCTTACTTCAATTCCCAGCACTGCAAAACAGAAAGAAGGGTAGGCACACTTGAGTTATTTGGGCCTAGTAGTTATCATACATAAATAACATTTAAATAGAGCCTGCTGCTTTCTTTTTTAGTGTATTATAGAAATGACATTGATTAACAGCTTTAAGTTTATATTTAATGTAGGATTTTCTATGAAATTTAAGAGCTATGCGCCCCCCCCCCCAAGTGTCTTTTTGTTTGTTTGTTTTTTTGGTCTTTTTGAGACAGGGTCTCCCTGTAGCTCCAGCTGTCCTGGAACTCAACTATGTAGACCAGGCTGGCCTTGAACTCACCGAGATCCACCTGCCTCTGCCTCCCAAGTGCTGGGACTACAGGTGTACGCCACCATGCCTGGCTTGGCATTCAGTTTTGAAACAAAGATTTCTTCAGTTCTTTCAAGTTAGTCTATTAGTTTATTTCAGTCAAATGGTGCTACCGTTTGTGTAGTTTTATTTATATGCACTAGTCTTAAAAAGAAAAAAGGTTCTCTTCAATAAAAATAACATAGAAATAAGCCAGAGGCTGAGGCTGATATGATTACTTTATTCCCCAGTTTTATCACTATGATCTAATTGGTTATATCATTTGAAATAAGTAACACAAATATGAACACCTAAAATTGACTTATGTTTCTGTTTTTGTATGTTCTATATGTTAAGTTCAATATAGTTCCACTCCCACCCCTTTTAGTTTTTTGAGATAGAGTCTTATTATCTAGTTCAAGTGTGCCTTGAACTCATGATTATCCTGAATGCTAGGATTACAGACTTGTGCCACCAGTGTGAAAAGGTGTTATGTCAGAGTTGAATATTACTGGACTAGTCTGTGAACTTTTCAGCACTGCAGTTCTGGGACCCTTTATACTAGTAAATCCTCATTGTTTGTGTAGAATATTTTATATCACACACATTTTTTCCCCCTTTGAGGCAGGGTCTCACCATGTAGTCCCAGCTGGCCTGGAATTCACTATGTAGACCAGATTGGCCTGGAACTCAGAGAGCTGTGTCTGCCTCTGCCTCCTGAGTGTTGGGATTAAAGGTGTATATTAGCACGTCACACACTTTTTTTTTTTAACTTTTACAAAAACTATATTGAGAATTTCATACGTGCATATAAGGTGTTTTGATCAAATCCATGCCCATTCCTTCTCCTCCAACATTCCCCCCTCTGAAGAGGTAACCCTAAAATCTTTTAAGGATTAGATACAAGCTCCCAAATACTTTTGACATTTTGACATTTTTGGCCTTTGGAACAGAGTGCACACACTTTTTTTTTTTAAGTGTATGAGTGTTTTGCTTGCATGTAAGTATACCATGTGTATGCAATACCCCTGGAGGTCAGAAAAAGGTGTTAGATCCTCTGGAACTGGAGTTATAGACTGGTTGTTAACCACCACATGGGTGCTAGGAACTGAACCTGAGTCCTCTGCAAGAGCAGCCAGTGTTCTTAAACACTGAGCCATCTCATACTCTGCCCCAACATACTCTTAAAGTTGCTAATGTATCAGTTTTACTTTTAGGATTGTAAGGACCCTTATACATGAACAGATCCAATGTTCTATTCAGTTTTACCCTTGTTAGAAGTCATCCTTCCTTTACTTGAAGGCATATAATTATAGAGACAATTAATTGCCCCTCTAACTTAAACCTCTTAGTTCAAATTCTGCCCGACAAAGATTATCTGCTCTCTCTTCTAAATATCAGAGTAGCTTTAAAAAAATATTTTATTTATTTGTACTTTATGTGTATGAATATATTGCCTGCATATATGTAAGTATACCCATGTTGTACAATGCCTGAGGAGGTCAGAAGAGGGCATCAGATCCCCTGGAACTAGAGTTAGGATGGTTGTTAGCCACCATGTAGGTTCTGGGAACTGAACCTGGGTCCTCTGAAGCAATCAGTGCCCTTAACTGCTGAGCCATCTTCTCCAGCTGAGCTAGCTTATTTTTAAAAATTGCTATCTTCTTTAGGCCAGGCATCGCCCTTTCTCTTACTATATGTGATTTCCTAATTTTTTGCCATTCCAGTACTCCCTTTGAACAGTTTTTATTGTTTTTACTTTGAAAATGTGTTGTGTGTGTGTGTGTGTGTGTGTGTGTGTGTGTGTGTGTGTTGCGGGTGAGGAAGAAATTACTGGAAGTGACTGATGAGATGTGGTTATATAACTTAAGTACACGGTTTTTAGGATAACATTCTCAAGTCATTCTCTCTCTAGCAGATGTAGACAAGATATAGGAAAGCATTAACAGTTTGTTCTAAAGCCATATAATACTTGTAAGACATGCCTTAACATTCAGTTAGTATTTAGAATTGTAAATATTTAAATTTTAGGTATTTTCAATATACCCTGCCTATACTTGCACTCCATATTATATCTCATTATCCTGAAACTTAATGCTGTCTTGAGCCTTTTTTCCCTCCAGGACTGTTAGAAATACTCACCCTCCCCCTACTCTCCTACCCTCTAAATTCCATCCTGTGTCCCAGTGATTTTTTTTGTGTCAAAGTGATTTTTTTTTTTTTTTTTTTTTTGAGACATCTGTAGCCCCAGCTGTAGCCCCAGCTGACCTAGAACTTGCTATGGAGACCAGACTGACCTCAGTCTCAGAGATCTGCCTGCCTCAGTCTCCCAAGTATAGGGATTAAAGTCATGCACTGCCAAGCCCAAGCTTCAGAGTGATCTTTCTAAAATACAGAGTTAGGTCAGTGAGTAGAGGGATTTACCTGGTGATCTGAGTTTGGTTTGTGGAACCCAAATAAAGGTGGACAGAGAGAACCAACTTTATAAAGGTGTCTTGTGGTCTCCACACATGCGCCACAAGGCCACACACACACATCATCATCATCATCTTTATCATCATGAGATTTAATAGTCACTTGTGTCACTCTTCTGCTTAAAGTCTATCTAGGCTTTCTGATTTTTGAAGAAAGTTCTAACTCTTCATCATGGCATAAAGAGAATTTTTTCTTTTTTAAATGTATATGAGTATGTATATTGTCTGCATGTATGTAAGCATACCTTTATCATGCAAAGCCTGTGGGGGTCAGATGAGGCCATCAGGTCCCCTGGAACTGTTATTACAGATGGTTGTTAACCACCATGTGGTTGCTGCAAACCAAACCCAGGTCCTCTACAAGAGCAGCCAGTGCTCTTAATCACTAAGCCATCTCTCCAGCACCTGAAGAGAGTTTTTGTAATCTGTGTCTTCCTCTGCCTCTTGCCTGGTTCATAAGCCTAGAAAGCATCTACTACTCCAGAATTATTTAAAAATGTGTACCCATATCCTCTTTTTAACTGGGCTGTTTGGTGCTTGTCCTCAAAGTAAGC